TTCCGAGTTGGTCTAAGATTTCTAATATATTAGGTAAGGGATAAGCGTCCGGAATAGATTTTTCATTTAGTGCGCGATAATCGATGACCATTCTCCATCGTTTGTTCCCTTGTGCGTCCGGTTTTTTGGGCACAATCCATAATAGCGAATTGTAAGGTGATGCGGACGGGCTAACTATATCGCTTTCTAATAATTCCTTCATTTGCTTATCTATTTCTTGCTTATGTATCGGTGGATATCTGTATTGTTTTACATGTATTGGTTGTTGGTCGTATGTCGGAATTTTGTGATTTAATACATTGGTTTTACCTAAGTAGTCACCAGGGAGGTGGAAGAGATCGTGATTTTCTTTAATAATTTCTTTTACATAAGCGAGTTCTTCTTCATTTAAATGGTCTGTTTTTATTAGCTCGAGAATTTCAGTTTGACGTTCTTCAGGTGATTTAAGATTTTGAGAACATATATTTTCTTCAGAATTAACTGCCACAGTAGAAAATTGTTCGATTTCTTCCATCTCCATGATTGGCATGGGAAAAGCTACGCTGTTACTTGTTAAGTTTACGCATCGTACGTATGCCTTTCCGTTCCGATTTTCGCATAAGGAATCGAAGATTATTACGTTAGGTGCTATTTCTTGTTTTGGGATGTATCCGATATGAGGACCGGTAACCTTGATCTCGATATTCGCTACGGTTCGACTTTTGATAAAATTCTTCTGTGTTTTTAGGAAGGGAATGATATTGCCCTTCCAAGATATTTCCTCCTTGATAAAGGAAATTTCGGCTCCTTCTGCTAAGAATGCAGAACCGAGAATTCCTTGTGTAGGAATGGGGAAATTATTTGGTACCAGGTGAAATTTGATTTTTGTTCCATAAAGATTTATGCTAACGGCTCCAAGTGTAGAGACCACTCCTTCCGTTATCCCACTAATTTTGATTATATCAGAAGTATCAGCCAAAGTGTCGGGTTTTAGTGTACCAATCTTAATTAAATTTGGTTCAGCTCCTGTGTCTATCATGAGTATCGTTTGATCAAGGAAATTAGGCGAAGTGAGTTTGACCTGGGGTACAAGAGAATTTTCTGATAATTTTACTGTGGAGATTCTGTAATTTCCGCGATCGTTCGGACCTGTTTTGGGGGTTCCTCCTTCCGTCTCTGGTCCGATGTGGACGGAAGGAGTTGTTCGTTTCCCTGTTG